ACAGACAGCCTTCCCTACACCGCCCCCCCCCCCCGGTCTCCCGCATACTTCCTTTCCCAGCACTTTCCTTTCTCCCACAGGTTCCTGGTGCTGAAAGGGGCCAGTTGGCCGATCCTCCCGCAGAGAGGAGGCTGCTTTCCTTTCTGTTACCTGCCTATCCCTTCCACCTTCCCCGAAGTGGGAACCTTAGTCCCTGGTTCCTGGGTTTTCTCACAGAGAGGCAGGGATCCTACGGGAGTTACTTCCAGGTGAGGGTGGTGTTCAGAAGTAAAGAACCATCTGGCCTTTAAGGGAGCTAAGAACTCTACAGTCCTGTCTGACTTGGACAGACGCTTGTAGAAGGGAACCTAAGAAACACTGCCCTTGGTGCAGCTTTCAATCAAGGGAAAAGTGAATCTGGAAAGACAATTCTTGTTCCCTTTTTTACCCTTGCTGCTGAAAGTATTTTGGTAGCGTTCTTGACAATTGATGAGCCAAATTCTCCCTGTGTGAGTGATGCAGGAGCCATGATTGTGTTATCTCGTTGCCTTCTCAGACAAATGAAGGGAAGAAACTGGTTTAGGAGGAAAGATGGCATCTTCCATTCTCCTGAAAAGAGATGAGAACAAGAATCTGGAGAATTGCAAGCAGTAAAAGCCTAGAGAAAACAGAGGCTTACAAAGAGAATCACAATTATCTCCCTACAAATAAAGCAGAAGCACGTTTCTCCCATGAAGAGGAACAGCTTCCAGCTCCATGCCTGTCTCCCACCCCACTGTCAGTCTGTCCTAAAACCTTCTGTGTCTGTCCTAAAACCTTCTGTGAAGAATGGCTCACCCAGTCCAGCACTAGATGGCCCACACGGGCAGGACACCTTACAAGTGCACTGACTATGGAAGGAGCTGGACCTGGAGCACTCTCTGGTCATTCCCAAAGCACTCACACGAATGAGAAACGGAAGTCTCCTTCATGAGACACTTTTCTCTGATCTCCAACCTGCTTACCCACCAGAAAATGTACACAGGAGAGCAGCTGTTCCCTGCAAAGTGCGTGGCGAGGCCTCCAACCCCAGCTCTGACCCGGTCCCATTGTCTGCAGCACTCTCCACCAGCCCCACATGTAGCAGAAGTCAGGGCAGGGCTGCAAGCTGCTTTGGCACCTGCATTGCCACATGGACATTCAGTCTTCCTAGTGCCTAGAGTAAAGGAGGAGCTGACCTCCAGGCAGCCTCCTCCAGCACCAGGCCTATCCATACAATAGGCCTGAGAAGCAACCAGCCTGTCTGCCACTCACCCATAGCAGTGAGAGGCTCTAAGCACAGGGAATCCTCTGATGTGGGTTCCAGCTTGACCCGGCACCAACTGATCCAAGGCAAGAGTCCACTGACCTTATTCTACCACTGTGTCCTGGTGAGGAGGAGCTGTGTTTGTGTCCTGAGTTGGGCAGCCACTTTGTCCATAGGATCTTTACCGGTGTGTGGCAGAGCTGGGGCAGAGATATTCAGTGTGCAGCCAACACTTACAGTCCAGCCAACTTGGCCAACACTTGAGCAAAGGCCCTCAGTATGAGGGCGACTCCTGCGTGAACTGCTCTTTCCCTGCATGCAACGGACAGATGCTACGAGAGACGTCCCTGTATATTCAAGAAGATTTGAGGTACCAAGAAGAGCTCAGCCATGGCACAGGCCCCTTTGGGAAGAACAAACAAAATGGGAGTCTTTGTCATCCTCTGACCTCAAGCATTTGCAAAACTAAAAGTAGCTAGAAAGTAACATTTTGTTCAGAGCATCATTACCAGGTGTGAGAGTCCATCCCTGGAGATTCTGATTCAATACTCCAGAGATAAAGCCCAGGGAGTTGGCTACATTTTAAAGTTACTGAATGGGATTCTGTGGCAGAAAGGCCTTACTTTGAAAAATACTTGCTTAGGGGCACCTGAGTGGCTCAGTTAGTTAAGCATCTGTCTTCAACTCAGGTCATGATTCTGGGGTCCTGGGATCAAGCCCCACATTGGGCTCCCTACTCAGTGGGGAGTCTGCTTCTCCCTCTCCCTCTGCCCCTCCCCACCCTGCTTGTGCTCACTTTCTAATAAAATCTTTAAAAAAGGGAAAAAAAAGAAAAGAAAAATACTGGCCTAGAGCAGGTTTTTCCTTCTTTGGGTCATAAACATCTTTGCACATCCCATTCCTAGAGACACACATAAACAAACATTCAAAAATGTTTAGGGGTCTTGGGGCACCTGGATGGTTCAGTCCGTTAAGCATCTGCCTTCGGGGGGGCGCCTGGGTGGCTCAGTCGGTTAGGCATCTGCCTTCGGCTCAGGTCATGATCCCAGGGCCCATGATCCCAAGCCCCACATCGGGCTCCCTGCTCCACAGGAAGCCTGCTTCTCCCTCTCCCACTCCCCCTGCTTGTGTTCCCTCTCTCGCTGTGTCTCCGTCTGTCAAATAAATAAAATCTTCAAAAAAAAAAAAAGGATCTGCCTTCGGCTCAGGTCTTGATCTCAGGGTTCTAGGATGGAGCCCGCATTCCCTGTGGGGCTTCCTGCTCAGTGAGGAGCCTGCTTCTCCTTATTCCCCTACCACACACACCCCTTGTGCTCTCTCTCAAATAAATAAAAACCTTTAAAAAAATGTTTAAGGGTCTTTAAAAGCTCAAGTCGACACTTGCCCTCATTTTACATGGCTTGGACAAGTTAGGAATGGGCCACGTGGTCATGACTTTGACCTTTCACTCTGGCCATTTGCACGGGGCTCATTTTGTCTGATTCAGACAAGCATTTCTCCTGATGTACCAAGAAAGCCCTAGGAAAACCCTCTTCCTGGCTTAAAAGTGCTTTGGGGTCTAAGCCTTAAAGACCTATGGGAGCAGAGAGAGAAAAGGGAGCCCCATCTCTGGTGGCAGCAACCATGCCAAGAAATGAGCTGAGAATGGAGTGAGGCTAAGGCTTAAGCATTTCGTGACACTCAAAAATCGATTAAATGGCAGAAAGTTGGGTCGTGAGGGCAGGAAGCGGAGGAGCTGGGTCTGGTTTTGGGGCCCTAAGCAAGCTTGGCAAACTTCAAAGCACTCGGAGAAAGTAGTAATTATGGTACCTTTAATTGTCAAGCTGAGGGCAGGATCCAGATCTGACTTTGAATCTGAGCTGACAACCGGTATTGCAGGCTGGGCTTTCCCCGGGCAGTGCTGAGCGTGAGGCAACGGAAGGGCTGTACGCTGGCTTCTCTTTAGGGAATTAGAAGCTGGTACAAAGGTAGGTCCTGCTGTCAAGGTGCCTCTTTTCACTGCACGTCCCCCTTGTGACAAGATGGCACCTGAGCCAACCCTCCCACTAAAATTTAGGGTAAGCCAGGTCCTGGTGGGGTCAGATCTGAAGATTAAATTGGTATCAATTCAGTTGATTATTTCACCTGAACAGTGTCTTTCCCCCCCCGATTTTCTCCCTCTTCCTTTAGAAGTTTCTCTAGGTTGACAAATCTGGTTTCTTCCTAAGATAGGCCAGACAGGACACGGGACAGATTTGGGTGAAGGAGACGGGTGCACACAGACCGGCAGAAGACATAAGCCCCTGCTATTACTCCTCGAGGTGAAGGTGAAGGAGGCAGGAACGGGTCTGCCCGTGGCTGGTAGCAGCGTCACTGGGACAAGGCTGGACTCTGAACACAGCGGAACTGGGTGGCTAATGGATAATGGAGTCACAAGCAATACGGCTTGGGAATACAGATGAGCAGGTCCCTTGGCTACTAACCCCAAATGTTCCTGGCCTTGTCCTTCTTTGTTCATGATGAGAGGTACTTAAAAAGAGAAGAGGCAAGCTTTGCTTCTGTTTGCCCTGGAACTCTCATCTCAGGCTGGTTTCTCCCTTGCCTTGCTTTGCTGTGTGGCTGTTCTGTCATTTTGTAACTGGGCCTCACTGACACTGGGTTGCTCTGTCCCTAGTCCAGGTCATTGTTTGGGAACTGTCGTAGGGAGGGAGCAGATTGCTCCAGAACCCTGGCTGAGACACGGGCAAGGAACTCAGGCATGGCGTGGTAAAGACAGCAGTAAACCAAGAACCCTGGAGTCTCACTCACTCTGTATGTGACCTTGGACGGGTCGTTTGGCCTTCCCCAGTCTGAGTCCCCAAAGAGAAGGACAGAAAAACTAAGATCTCTTCCAGATCAAAAATGTGATGAGGCCCTCCTGGCTGGCTGGCTGGTGGCTAAGGCCTGAGCAATAGGGCTCTCCCAGGGAGGCTCAAGGAGGACTGGAGGGCACACTCAGAGCCTTCCTCTTCAAAACCAGGAACTGCCGGTCAACCAAGAGGCCTATCGTGGCGTGGCAGAGATGCCTCTCGGTTTGGAGCAAAATATAGCCTCTTCCTGACTGGGCTGTCCTTTCCAAGCTACATGGACAAGGTCCAAGCTGATGGACAAAACAGTACTTTGTAAACCAGAGAACGTGATACAAGCAGACATCTGAAATAAAGCCTGCTTTTCCTTCTCTTCTCCTGCCCTTTCACACGGGTGCTGTCAACCTAAATCCCTGGGTGAGGACAACATGAACGTGGGGCGCCTGGGTGGCTCAGGTTAAGCGTCTGCCTTCAGCTCAGGTCATGATCCCAGGGTCCTGGGATCGAGCCCCGCATCGGGCTCCCTGCTTCTCCCTCTTCCTCTACTGTTCCCCCTGCTTCTGCTCTCTCACTCTCTGTGTCAAATAAATGAAATCTTAAAAAAAATAAAAATAAATAAAAAATAAAAAATAAAATAGAACATGAATGCTATCCACCAGTCTGCAAACTCAAATGACTACAGGAAGCCAGCGGGTCATGTAAACAAGGGGAAAATGCCCGATGGAGAGGGCCTGCTGTACTGGGGACATGGACAAGTGGGGACAAGGGCCAGCTGACACTGGTGGCAAGCCGGGAAGGGCTGGTGGGCAGGCTGAACAGCTGCCCTGCGCTTCCTGCCACCTGTGCCTTTGTGGGAGCTCAGGTCGAGTTGCCAAATCCCCGAATTTTTCAAAAGAGGCCAGAAACCTGAATTTTTGTGTGAAATATCCTTTTAAGTCTTAACCATGATTTGTAACATTTTAAAATGCTGGTTGGACCACAAATACTTTGTAAAAGGTTTGCTACGAGCCAGATTCAGTACAAGGCCGTCAGTTTTTAACCCCTGCAGTAAAGACAACCAATACAGCAAACTTCCCTTCTACCTCAATCCTCTTAACATGTCTAAGTGGAGAAAGAGCCTTTTCTTCCCCACAGCGGAGGTCTTGTGCAGGTGCTTACCTCAGCCCTAACGGAGCAGAGGGGGCTTCTAGAGTCTGGGACAGTAGGGAGCAAGGTGTCAGCAGATCAAGCTTGTGAAGGCCTAAGGTAAGAAGTTCCTCATCCCCCAGGTCCACCTCTTGCCTGGAATTGTGGGACCTCCCTGGAGCTGCCACAGAGGTTCAGGCCCCTGAGCCCAACCTGGGCCTCAGGCAATGTCTAGATCTTCACCCTTTGCCTTGACATCTTTAGGACCATCACCCACACTCCTGGATTATTTCTGGGTAGTGCTGGAAGCCCACAGGTGGGTCCAGGTCCCCTTGGCCAGGGGCCAGAGGCACAGGCAACGCACTGGCACCCCGGCCCCTGGGCCCCCCGGCACCAGGCCTATGGACCCACTGGTGCTTGGCCATGGCTGACTTCTGGCCAAAGCACCTGCCACACTGAGGACAGGGGTAGGGGCGTTCACCGCTGTGGGTACGCCGATGGGCTGCCATTTCGGAGCTCTGTCGGAAACAGCGCCCACAGTCTGGGCAAGGGTAGGGCTTCTCGCCCGTGTGGGTGCGTATGTGGCGCCGAAGGTCTGACGCATGGGCAAAGGCACGGCCACAGTCCGGGCAGGGGAAGGGAGTCTCGCCACTGTGGACCCGCTGGTGCTGGTAGAGGGCAGAGCTCTGGCTAAAGCAGCGGCCACAGTCAGCACAGCCATAGGGCTTCTCGCCCGTGTGGACCCGCAGGTGAGTGGTGAGGGCAGAGCGCTGGGTGAAGGCCCGGCCACAGTCCAGGCAGCGGTGGGGCCGCTCCCCACGGTGGATGGCCCGGTGCTTGCTCAGAGAGGAGGCCTGGCTGAAGCCCTTGCCACAGTCAGGGCAACGGAAGGGCTTCTCCCCCGTGTGGGTGTACAGGTGCTCCACTAGGGTGGAGCGCCAAGCAAAACTCTTCCCGCACATGTAGCAACCATGACGCTGGTCGGCTCTTGGGACAGGGGGATGCGTACAGAGTGGGGGGCGACCCCGGCGAGGTGCCTTGGACGGCTGCTCCAAGCTGTCAGGGAACCCAGCAGAAGGGTGTGTTGGAGCCTTTGGCCCAGGAGCTTCCACAGAAAGGCTCTTCTTCAGGGCCTCAGTCCCTTCTCTTTGTTTTTTCTCTTCCTTGTTTCTGGAATCTGCTGGGAGGTAAGGGGAGAGCTTAGACCCTCGCTTACCCTGGTTCTTATGGCCAAACCCCAAATGGTGACAGAGAAGCCTTTTAGATACAGCCACCTTCTGGACCCACTGCTGCCTCTGGGACTCAGCTCGGTACAGGCAAGGAAGCTCGGAGTGACACATTTTCCTGAACTGCAGAGGACAGAAAAGACACCAAGACAAAGAAGGAAGGAAGGAACGGAACACCGTACGTTCTACCTCAGAGCTGGGGAAATGCGGGCAGAGGGGACATTCTTGCTGGATCCTGGAGGATGACAGGATGTCTCAGGACACTCCAGGCAGCAGGAACATGTTCGTGCAAGAGAGGCAGGACCGTGGCCGGCATTGACAAGCTCACAGGGAGGGGGTGCGGTGCAAGGATCAACTGGAGGAAGTAAACAAACAGTGGAACCCACGAGAAAGGAGACCACAAAAACGTAACAAAAAGAAAGGAAGCTAAAACACAAGAGGCGGCCGCGAAGCTAGAGTGTAGGAAAGCGGCAGGAGGGATGATGTGAAGCTCGAGAGAGCTCTGAGACCAACCAGATGTGAGGGGCACAGATTCGCTGGAGAGGCAGGTACGCAGGGCCCCGCACCCCAGCAGAGCCCGGGCCACACTCGCAGCCCCTTTCTAGGCTGAAGCCTGCAGCGAGGCACGGGCCGGCATGGTAACCTCAGCGGGGAAAGCAACCCAGGGAAGAAAATGAGGAGCAGGGAAGGTGTTGGCAGAAGGTCAGCTGGGTGGCCCAGGCCCAGAGGCGGTCCCGGGAGACGCAGTACCCAATACTTCACCTGCGTCTGCTTCTGTCAGACACTCTCCCACCTCCGGATCCCGGGCAGCCGGGCCCCACAGGTCCGCCTCTTCCTCCACCCAGGAAATGAGAGCTGGCTTGGCGCCTCGGAACCCTGGGGGAGGAGAACGGAAACCCCACGCTGCCGGGAGGCCGCCCCCCGTCGCCCCGGCTTCCCGGACCTCGGGGCTCCCACTGCCGGGGCCGGCCCGGGAGGCTGGGCGGGGTGGGCGGGGAGGTGGCCCGGGCGAGCCGGCGGGGCCTCACCGAGCGCGCCCAGGTGGCCGTAGGTCTCCCGCATCACGTCCCGGTACAGGGCCCTCTGCGCGGGCCGCAGACAGCCCCACTCCTCGGGGGAGAAGTACACGGCCACGTCCGCGAAGCTCACGCCGCCCGGCCCCCTCCGCTCGCGCCCCGCGCCGTCCGGTTCCCACGCGGGCAGCGGGGCCGGAGGCGGCGCCATGGCAAGGGCCGGGCCGGGGTCCGCGGAGCCGCCCGCGCCGGAAGACGTCCCCGGGCCAGGGCGCGGGCCGGAAGGCCGCGAGCGCAGCAGGCCGCCCCTCGAAGGCCCACCAGGGTGGCCAAGGACCAAGAGCCGCGAGCGGAAGGGACACAGAGCATCAGAAAGAAATGGCGGCAACGCGCCGCGCGAACGTTTCTCCTACGCAACCGTGCCCAGATGACGCCTCCCCGGGGTCTCCAGGGGGCTTTGTCCTCGAGCCCTCAGCCAAAATGGCCGCGACGGCTACAAGTGCGGGAGGGGGCGGCGAGCCGCCTCCGCCCCGCGAAGTGCACGCGCCCGCCGCGCTGGGAGGCGCAGCCGCAGCCCCGCCCGGGTTTGGAGGCGGGACGGGCGCGGCGGAGGGTGCGGGCTGACCCGGCCCGCTCTGCCCTCGTGAGTTCCACGCTACTTTTCGTCGCCGGGCCGTTCATAAGTGGGTTCCTGGGTTTCGGCCCGTCACTGGGTGACAACGCACTTTCCCCAATGTTGAGAGGAGAAAAATGTAGTGGGTAAAAGAGAACCTTCTCTACCGGGAGCTTCTATTAAGGAGATCGTGGCGGCGGCTGGGGGCGGGTAGGGTAAGGTCTGTAAAAGTCGGCAGGACCCACTTTTTGCAACCTTACTTTCTTACTTTCTCCGCACATGCTCTGCAGGAGGCCCGTCGAACATCTATTTACCTTTAGCTCAAGCCTGGCTCCTAAGCTCCTGATCACAGAGCACAGAGCCACCTGCTCCCTTGCCCCTGCACGAATTCCCACTAGAACTTCACACTAGGCATGGCTCCCACTGAATTCATCATCCCTTTCTGCCCCCAGCCTGCTCTTCCTGGGGTCTTTATAAGCAAGTGACACCCACTCTCCCTATCATTTCTACCTCTAACCTCCTTCTCTCACTCCACACATTTATTGACGGCTTACTCTGCGTCCCCATATGCCTTCATAAATACCCTACCCTAAAAAGACTTGATAATTTTCCTTTGGCCGGCTAAATCACTGCATTTCACACCTTCCTTCACCAGGTCTGGGGTCTAGTCTGGAGCTTCTCTCTGCTTGCTTCCTTCCAGAGGTCTTCCTGAGGCTTTTGCCTAACACCTTGTATCTGGTGGATGCTTCTCCCCTACGCCAGAGGAGCTGGGCAAGTAGAGGTAATCAAAGTAGAAAGGGGAAAAGGAAAAGATGAAAAGCCTGGGAAAAGGTAAGGATGCAGATTTGCCCATGGACTTAGCCCTAGCTACTCCTAGCCTCCGGTCCCTGAAGGACACAAGAAAAGAAAAAATTTTTTTTCAGTAAGAGTAATAGCATTTTATCATCTGTCAGCGCCCACCCCTCACGGTGATGCCTCTCACACATAGGCCTGGAAGAGCTCTGGGTAGTGCTGGAAACTCACAGAGGGGTCTGAACACTCCTGAGGAAGAGCCCAGGGCAGAGTTCACACCTGTGTGTCAGCCCTTGAGGTCCACGGCACCAGGCTGGCACTGGGGTCTACTGGTGGGCCTCTGGCTAAAGCACCTTCCACACTAGGGACAGGAATAGGTCAGCTTGCCTGTGTGAGTCAGCAGGTAGCACGAGAGGTACCACCTGTGGCAGAAACAGGTGCCACACTACGCGCAGGCAAAGGGCCCCTCTCCAGAATGCACTGAGTCAGGTGAAAGGTCATGGCAAAGCGTGCCTGCACTCGGGGCAGGGTGCTGTGTGAGTACCAGGCACTGAGGCTGGGTGTAGAGTTGGGGCTTGGGAAAGGCCTGTCTACCTGGGGTGCTTTGGCCACAGGCTCAGAGACCAAGCTAGTGTCTCTGACCCCAGGAGCTCATGACAACTCCCCAGTAGACTCCTGCTGGCTTCTTCCAAATGTATCATTTTTCTGAGTGGCTGTTTTGAAACAGCAGATTCAAAACTTACTTTTTGCCCTATTCAGTCAAACTCTACTCAATGTTTAGGTGGCAGAATCAACTTTCACAACCTCAGATGGGTGCCTAGCCCCTGGAAGCACCCACCTAGACTGTGTTGACCAATTGAGGGGGTCACGGCAAGTCAGGGACATTCCCACTTCAGGACCAACCCAAAGAGACACCCTCAACCAGAGAAACAGGTGTTATAAGGCACAGGCACCTACAGGAAGGGGAACTGCTTCCATCCTAAACTTTCATTCACACGTTGACACTGACCTAGAGTTTGGATGATTTGTACAGTGTGACCTGATCTTGGGACGCGTGGATGCCTCAATTAAGTGAAAAAGAGAAGGTCAAGATTCTAGTCTCCGGTGGGTATCATAAATTCAGGCCAGCAGGGGCGCCTGGGTGGCTCAGTCGGTTAAGCTCAGGTCCTGATCCGGGATTGAGCCCCGCATCGGGCTCCATGATCGGCAGGAAGCCTGCTTCTCCCTCTTCCACTCCCCCTGCTTGTGTTCTCTCTCTCGCTGTGTCGTCTCTGTCAAATCAATCAATAAAATCTTTTAAAAAAATAAAAATCTGCGAGGGCGCCTGGGTGGCTCAGTTGGTTAAGCGACTGCCTTCGGCTCAGGTCATGGTCCTGGAGTCCCGGGATCGAGTCCCGCATCAGGCTCCCTGCTGCGCGGGAAGCCTGCTTCTCCCTCTCCCACTCCCCCTGCTTGTGTTCCATCTCTCTCTGTCTCTCTCCCTGTCAAATAAATAAATAAAATCTGGGCGCCTAGGTAGCTCAGTTGGTTAAGCAACTGCCTTCGGCTCAGGTCATGATCCTGGAGTCCCGGGATCAAGTCCCACATCAGGCTCCCTGCTGAGCAGGGAGTCTGCTTCTCCCTCTGACCCTCTGACCCTCTTCCCTCTCCTGCTCTCTATCTCTCATTCTCTCTCTCTCAAATAAATAAATAAAATCTTAAAAATAAATCTTTTAAAAAAACATTAAAAAAAATCAGGCCAGCAAAAAGTAGTAAGGTACATGTAGATGGTGTTTCTTTCTTTCTTTTTTAAAAGATTTTATTTATTTGAGAGAGAGAGAGAGAGCATGAGCGGAGGAGGGGGGAAAGGCAGATGGAGAGGGAGAGGCAGACTCCCCGCTGAGCAAGAAGCCCGATGCGGGACTCGATCCCAGGGCGCTGGGATCATGACCAGAGCCGAAAGCAGACGCTTAACCGACTGGGCCACCCGGGCATCCCTAGATGGTGTTTCTTGTTCAACAAAACATTTTCTCTTCCAGCTGGACCTGGAACATTACCCCCACTCCTCATCTTTCTTTCTCTCAGGCATCCACCTGGGGATCCTGAGCATCTGCACTCCACATCTGGGCCATCTTTTCTACCCAGGAGATGAGAGCTGGTTTGGGCTCTGGAATCTTGGAGAAGAACGTTAATCACTCAATAAACAATTCTTCATTCATTTAATGAAAACATATTGGGCATTGTGTGGCAGGCATTGTTCTAGATGTTCTAGGTGTTGGGAGACATTGGTGAACCAAGATAAGGTTCCTACTCTAAGTTTACACTAAGCTCTAGGTTTACGCTAAGGGAGAGAGAAGGCACCTATGAGCTCTGGGGGCAAAGGTGCAGAGACCTTCAGGCAGTTAAAGAGCTAGACAAAGCTGCAGCTGAGACTTCCTACTTGCGGCAGAAGAGCTTCAGGAAGAATTTCTTAGAGACATTTGAAAGGCATTTGAAAAGGGCATTGAAAGATGTTAGATTAGGCTCATTAAGCCAGATGTGTGTCCAGGGCTCCCTGCTCCGCAGGAAGCCTGCTTCTGCCTCTCCCACTCCCCCTGCTTCTGTTCCCTCTCTCTGTCAAATAAATAAAATATTAAAAAAAAAAAAAAAAAAAAACCAACCCAAAGATTCTTTGTAGCTGGAGCCAATGGGATCATTAGCCTGTAGGGAGAGACTGGGTTTGAATTGGGGGTTAGCAAGCCACGGGCTTTCACACTGTGGTACACAGGTTCTGAACTTTTTGCAGAAGTCCTGGGGAACCACGGAAGAGCCTGGCCAAAGAGGCTCCGCTGTAAATTTCAGTTGGGCCAATCTGGCGGGGGTCACAGGAAACGAAGTCATCTGAGGGCAGGAGTGGGGGCGAGTCTGTCACTCAGACCTGCGCATCCCACCCGCCCCCTTCCCTTTTCAGAGATGCGGGTTGGCTATCGATCTCCCGCGTCAGGTCTACGCATATGGGCCTCGGCGGGCACCTCAGCACCGAGCCGGGAGCAGGGCCAGGGACCCAAACGCCCCTCCCCACCAGCACCCCTGCACCGGGGAGGGGACGCCCAGCATTCCGCCTCCAGGGAGCTAGATTCTTCCGGGCCTAGGCGGCCGGCCAGTAGCCTCGGGTGGGGCGGCTCTAGGACAGCTAGAAACGGTCGGTTACGCGAACTCGGTGGTTGCGCGACCAAGAAAATGAAGGCGCCTTCAGAAAAGATGGTGGCATTCCAGTGTTTTTCAGTTTTAGAGAAGCATTTAACAGCGTCACTACCAGGGTGACGCCACTACCAGGGTCTGGTATTGATGACCTGGTTTATTCCTCTCTCCAGCTGTCCTCTGCTATTCCGCAAGCCGCCTTGGGAAGCGCCTCTTGCCCACAGTTAAGATGGCCGCGGCCGCTTCGGCGTCCGTGCTCAGGTCCGGCGGGGGGAAAAGGGAGGAGGCTCGGGTGCGTGAGCGCAGCCGGTTGCTAGGGGTCCGAGAGAGGGGGAAAGGGGCCAGGACTCTGGGCCCTCGGCCTGGCGACTCCCTCCCAGCCCCCTTCAGAACGCCCACTCAGTGACCTGGTCTTAAAAGAAAATTTCTTTTTGGCAAGCTAGTTCATTTCTCAACTTTTTTTCGTTTACAAGGTACAGAATAATATTCTGTGACGTCTCCTCCCCCACCCTTTTCTTCTATTAGGAGTTTCTAGAACATGCCTCCAGATATAGCCTGTCTACCTATCTGCTATTTCCATACACTTGCTAGCTCTTTAACCGAGGACACTAGACCGAATGCCTCTGAATGCCTTAGAGTTCAGCTCTTTGACCGAAGAAGAAACTGAAGCCTGGTGGTTACCAAGGTCAGGCAGCCCATTAGTTGACTGAGCAGCTTCAGACCCCTAAATTCAGCCTTTTTCACCATCTTGCGCTGCCTCCTCCAGGCCTGTTCCAGGAAAGCAACTGAAGACTTTGAATGTACTGACCCCTGCTGACCTTGTGAAAATGAACTCCATTCTCTATTTAAGAGATGATTGTATAAAAAGCAGATGAGTGACTGAATCACCTGACTTGTTTGTTTTAACACTCGGTTTGAAGGTGCCCCCAGACTTCCCAAGTCAAAGCTCCTCTAAAAGAACAATGGCCGACTATGCAAGGGATGCAGTTTGTTCTGTGATAGAACTAAGACATTAATCATACTAGTTTACCTTACTTGATCACTTACTATATGCCAGACTGTTCTAAGTGCTTCTGCCTGTTAACTCATTGAATTCTCACAATCCCTCAGAGATAAGTACCCTTCTGGATCAGGAAACTGAGGCAGAGAGCGGTCACCTTGCCCCAGGCCACCCAGCTAGTAAGTGGTGAAGCCAGGATTCAAACCCAGGCAGTCTTAACTCCAGAACCCATGCTGTAATGCTTTGAATAATTGAAGGTACAATCTCAGCAACCACAGAGCGAGGTAGGATTTTAAGACAGGCTACCAAGATGCAGTTGAAACGTGAGATATGGCAGCAACCTGGGAGGTTAGAAGAGCTGCTTCTGGTCACCTATACAACTCCATGCTGTCATGTAAATGTAAAGAGAAAAAAAACTTAAATGATGGGCTATGGTAAGTACTGAAAGTAAGTAAAAGGGTTGTATTTAAGAGTCATGTCATGGCAAAAAAAAAAAAATGTCATTCAGGTGTTTAGAAGGTATGTGAAATTGCCCTGGGGGAAGGGTGACGACAGGCTTCACAAAAGGTACCCTGTTGCATCTCTCACCAGTGGGCTCCTCTTGCCCAGGCCCTCGCTGATTTAGGCTTGGGTGGCCTGGCTGATCTCTGGGCCTCCAGCCTTTTGCCTTTCCCATCCATCGACACCGCAGCCTGGTATAGTGAAAAGAGCAAGAACATCCACTGAGAAATCTGGAGATTTGGGTTCCAGGCCTGCCTCTGCCACTACTTCAACTGTGTGATCTTAAGTAAGGGCCTTCCCCTCTCTGGGCCTCAGCCTTTCTCAGAGCGTATTCTGTGCAACAGTATTTACGTGAAAGCTTGTGGAAAGAACCAAACATTCTTCCCCATGTCCCCTGGAGAATCTCCTCAGGAAAGAAACCTATTCCACCCACAGCTTCCTAAACCCTGCTTAAACCTTTGAGCCAGGCAGCTCCTAAAAGCTCCCTTCCAGGTCTAAAATGCTGTGGTCCGTGGGGCACCTGGGTGGCTCAGTCGTTAAGCGTCTGCCTTGGGCTCAGGTCATGATCCCAGGGTCCTGAGATCGAGCCCCGCATCGGGCTCCCTGCTCTGCCAGAAGCCTGCTTCTCCCTCTCCCACTCCCCCTGCTTGTGTTCCCTCTCTCGCTGTGTCTCTCTCTGTCAAATAAATAAATAAAATCTTAAAATAAAATAAAATGCTGTGGTCCACCCTGTCACCACCTCCCAGGAACTGACCCCTCCATCTTCCTCCTCACTCAGCCAAAAATCTTACCATCGTTCCTGGCTCCTCTGAGGCTCTCAGCCCCACCACATTGCCCGCTGCAGTCCATTCTCAGAGCAACCAGAGTGGGTTTGCGGTCACATCACCTTGCCACTCTGCTTGAAACCTCCCCATGGTTTATATGAGGTCCCTAGAATAGTCAGACTCATAGAGAGAGAAAATGGAACCGTGGCTGCCGAGGACTGGAGAAAGGAGGAGTGGGGACTTAGTGTTTAATGGGTATGGGGTTTCAGCTGGGGAAGATGGAAAAGTTCTAGAGAGGGCTGATGGATGCACACAACGTGATTGTACTTAATGCCACTAAACTGTATACTTAACAAAATATTTAAAATGGTAAATTTTGTTACATGTATTTTACCACAAGGCAACAACAAACATGACCCAGTGGCTTTCCAATATGTTTAGAATCAAACCCAGACTTGACATCGTGGCAAGCCAGAGTTCTATGATCTGCTCCCTTCCCCTCCTCCAAGCTCATCTGTGATTCTGTTCCGCTCAGTTCCTCAGTCCAGCCACCAGGGTCCTTTCTGTACCTCACCCAAACTCACCCCTACCTCAGAGCATGGCACCTGCTATTGCCTCTGTCTGGAATCACTGCCCCCCCCAACTCCCAGCCTCTGAAACCCTGCACTTCCCCACTCCCACATCCTGCCACCTCACCCCTGTTTCCCTTTGGCTCCTTCTCATCATTTGGATCTCGGTTCAGATGTCTCCTCCACTCCACACCAAGACCTGGCTTAAGTACCTGTCTGCAACGGGCACTTTGAGGACATCCTGTTTTAGTACCTCTGTGGTACTTATTATTTACAATTATAATAACTTGTCTGACTTGTGCTGGCTTATCACTTGTCCGTCTTACTTTTTTGGGGGGGAGATCTTTCTTTCTTTCTTTCTTTCTTTCTTTCTTTCTTTCTTTCTTTCTTTCTTTTTCTTTCTTTCTTTGTTTGAGAGAAAGAGCACGAGCAGGGGGAGAGGGAGAAGTAAGCTCCCCACTGAGCAGGGAGCCCTACATGGGGCTCGATCCCAGGACCCTGGGATCATGACCTGGGCCAAAGGCAGATGCTTAACTGACTGAGCCACCCAGGTGCCCCACTTGTCTTACTTATGTGCTGGCTTATCCCTTGCTTTACCCTACCCTTCTTGAACGTAAGCTCCAAAACAGTTCCTATGTCTGTTTTCCATGCTCTATCTTGGCACACAGAGTAGTGCCTAGTACATGGCAGATGCTTAGTAGGTATTTGTTAAATGGATAAACACGAAAGAAAGCAGACAGCACTCACTCTGTGCCGTATGCTGACCTGGGCAACTCTGTGCCTGATACACTCTGCCAGGTTCTGCTCCCCCCTCCCTCATGGTGCCTCTTGTCTTTGCCTCACCTCTCTCCAGTACTGGTCATCTCTTGTGCTCCACACTGTCCCACTCCTGACTGACTGCCCCTCGCCAGACCTTCAGGCTCCCTTGCTCCAGCTCTCCATGCTTGAGCCCCCTGGGGCGTACTTGTTCCCAGCTCCTATTGTCAGTCACTGAGCCACACAGATTCTGTGGCAGAAGCCTGTCCTCAATATCTTTCTCCCCAATCCCAAGGTCAGCAAACAAGGGCAACTGCAAGAAAAAGTGTTGCTTTTCAGCCTGGTCCCAGCTCCTGCTCACCTCTACCTGGGAGCAGATGCCCAACAGATCTCTAGTCTAGTCTCCTGCACAGGTGACATCTTCGGACAGAACTGGTCAAATAGCCCTGCTCCCTGTTCAAGACCTGTCTATGGCTCCTCAGTGCCTACTGGGTAAACCTCAAGCCCTCCTTCAGGGATTGTTGGCCCCCCCAGATTGCTGCATGTGTCTTCTATGACCCTTTACCTAGTTCTTTATGTTTCACTCAGGTGGCACTGCTGACCATTCCCTAGACATGCCTAACCTGGTTGAAATCTTTCCCATCCTTCAAGGCCAGTTTGAAACTCCTCCTCCAGGAAACCTCCCTTGATTCAGAAGATCTGCCCACGTCTCCTCTTTGTCCTCTTCACATACTCTTTTATATTCTTTTAGAATAACAGTAACCAGTGTTTATTAAACACTAACGTGGGAAGCCTTCTTTGGTATTCTCTCATTTAATCTGTACATCACTCTTAGGAGGCAGGTGCTATTATTATGCAGGTTTCACAGATTAAGAAACTAAGGCACAAGAGGAACCATGAGAGACGGTGGACTCTGAAAAACAAACTGAGGGTTCTAGAGGGGAGGGGGGTGGGGGGATGGGTTAGCCTGGTGATGGGTATTAAAGAGGGCACGTTCTGCGTGGAGCACTGGGTGTTATGCACAAACAATGAATCATGGAACACTACATCCAAAACTAAAGATGTCATGTATGGTGATTAACATAACAATAAAAAAATTAAAAAAAAGAAACTAAGGCACAGAGAGGCGGGGCGAGCACCGACTCCACACTGTGCCCATTTTTCATCCTTCCTTTGAAATAAGGCTCCCTTTGCCTGAAAATCTCCCCTCACACCAATTCCTACTCTACTATTCCTACTATTTCTATTAGAATTCCTACTCATGTATGGGAAGCATAACCGTCTCCTTCTCCAAGCTGCATTTCCTGGTGGATCACCAGCCAGGAGGGGTTAGGTGGTGCCTCTGGACTTCTTCCAGCACAGCCCCAATCACCATGGAACATGGGACCTGAGTTTGAGTGTCCCTGGAGCCCAGCACAAAACCCCACAGAGGCCTCATATGGTGTTTACTGAATGAATGAATGAATGAATGAATGAGTCTGAGGGTCCCTAGAGCCCAGCACAAAACTCACAGAGGCTTCATGTGTTTGCTGAGTGAATGAATGAATGAATGAATGGGATCAGCCTGCCTCATCCCGAACTCCCTTACCACCTAGTAGTCTCTCCCACAGAAGCCACTCAATCTATGGCCACTGAATGTTGCCGGCACTTTCTAAGTGAAAGGTCACTGGCCTTGGTGGGGCTCTCCATTTCCTGCTGAGACTCCCCCAGGAAGGCAGGGCTGGGCCCCTGGCCAGACCCGTTTTCACCTCACCCTCACCTGAGCCCCTGCTCTGTTTTCTGCCCAGAAGTGACTGCCCATAGAAAGTGGTAGGTATCGGGTGCCTGGGTGGCTCAGATGGTTAAGCATCTGCCTTCGGCTCGGGTCATGATCGCAGGGTCCTGGGATCGGGTCCCACATCGGGCTCCCTGCTCCTTGGGAGCCTGCTTCTCACTCTGCCTCTCTCTCTCTCTCGCTCTGTCTCTCATGAATAAATAAATAAAATCTTTGAAAAAAAATGAAAGTTATAAAAAAATTTAAAAAAAAAGTGGTAGTATCTGGGCACTGTCAGCTTCCAGCTTTGCTGCCCTATAGCAGTGACCCTTTGAGAAAATCACTTTCTCTCTCAGAGCCTCAGTTTACTCATCTGCAAAATACGGCTATTGATGTCCATGCCCTGCCTCTTTAGCAGGCTTCTTTACATTTTCGGAAGCATAAAATGTCAACGATAATTCACTCTTTCAACAAATGTTTATTGCACATTGACTCTGTCCTACATACTATCTTGTTAAAATTTCAGCCTTCACAGTGACCCGTTGAGGTAGATATATTTAATCTTTATTTTACAGATGAGGGAGCTGAGGCTCAGGGACGGCATGTGACTTGCAAGCTGTGCCTGGGGACAAGTTGCAGAGACTAGATCTGTGCTTCTGTACTCTTTGCACCCACTTCACTTCCCAGGGTCCCTGCTGCTGTCAGTTAGCCGGGGCCTGCGCATGCCCTGGGTCCCGGAGCAGAGGGGAGAGCCCTCCCCAGGCCTTAGTCCCCTCAGCATTTGCCTCTGATGCAGAGGAGTAGCAAGGGGAGGTTTCTGAGACAACGTTGCACCTGCTGCTGAGATTAACACTTTGAGAAAAGTCCAGCATCTCACTTTTTTTTTTAGAAAGACTGGCGGGAGTAGTGTCAAGTTTAATCTATTTGCATCTTTACAGGCACTTTTCTTTTTACAAGTTTTGAAACTTGAGGGATCCTTGAGGGAAGCCCAAGGGATGAATTTCGATTCCCAAGTCCCGGCCTCCGGAGCCTCCCTCAGGGCTCAGGCAGTCCTAGGTCAGGCTCAACCCCAGCCTGCGGGAGCAGCTCACCCGCACTCCTCAAAGATGTCCGGGTAGTGTCGGAACAGCACGGGAGGGTCCCGGTCACCCCTCACCGGAGCCCGAGGCACAGCCCGGATCCCAGGCCTCCGGCCCCGCCGCCCGCCGGAGCAGGAGCGGTGGATCCACTGGTGCGCCTCCACGGCGAACTTCCTCTTGAAGCGCATGCCACACTCCGGGCAGGGGAAGGGCCGCTCCCCCGAGTGCATCCGCCGGTGGCTGACCAGCAGTGAGGGGTAGGTGAAGCGGCGGCCACAGTCCGCACACACGTGACGCCGCTGGCTGTCCTGCGTGCCCACGCCGGGGGCCGGGCCGGACGGCTGCGCGCCTGTGCTCTGGCTGCAGGCAGCGCTCGTGGGCCGCTGTGCTCTGGCCGAAACTTTTCCGACGGTCCAGTTAGGGCTCTGTTTAACCAGCTCTTTAGAAGGCTCCTTCCCGGGAGGCTTTCTGGGTCCCTTGGCTCCTGACCCTTCCTGCGGTGCCTCTTCCTTCTTGTTTGGGGTGTCTCCTGGGAAACGGGAATTAAGATACATTTTATTTTTTAAATATTTTATTTATTTGACAGAGAGATAGAGAGAGCACAAGGGAGTGGAGCGACAGGCAGAGAGAGAGGGAGAAACAGGCTTCCCGGCTGAGCAGGGAGCCCAATGCGATGCGGGACTCATCCCAGGACCCTGGGATCATGACCTGAGCCGACTGAGCCACCCCGGTGTCCCAAGATACATTTTTTTTTTTGGACTTTATTTATTTATTTGACACAGAGAGAGACAGCGAGAGAGGAAACACAAGCAGGGGGAGTGGAACAGGGAGAAGCAGGCCTCCTGCAGAGCAGGGAGCCCCATGCGGGGCTCGATCCCAGGACGCTGGGATCATGACCTGAGCGGAAGGCAGACGCTTAACGACTGAGCCACCCAGGCGTCCCCCAAGATACATTTTAAAACATATTTGCTTACACCATCTCAGGTTATAGCGTTCTTATACTTCGGGAAGTGGCAGAAAAGTACTGCCCAGCAATTGACACACAGTCTTTGCAGGATGATAAACAAGGTTCACATTCCTAAGAGTGACTTATCCGGGCCTTGCCTCTCATGTTTCAACTGGGAATCAGTGGTTTCTTTACTTCACAGGGTTAGGAGGATTAAATCAGGAGAAGCATGTTAGGCATTTAGTAAATGCTCAATAAAACAATAGCTAGTATTACTGTGTTTGCTCGATTTTTTATAGGATAAGACTTCTGCAGATGAGGAAACATATTTGCTCAAGATCACTCTGCTAGGGGATGGGGAGAAGAGCCACCTTGTTGATTACTGGGCATTTCCTCTTGTACCACTTTGCCTTGCTTGAGGAATGTGAAAGGAGGACCTGAAGCTGCTTCCATTCCTAGGGGGTTTTAGTCGTTCTTGAAAAGGGGAGAATGAGTGGTGTTTTCTCCAAGAGGGCCCTAGAAACCTGAGTCTGGGACTTGGGTTCCTGATTCTCCTACTCTGGTCCTAAAATGACAGATCTGCCTTCTTTCCTCTTTTAGTATCCAACATCGGGGGGCTCTTTAATTCCTTTAGGGTTGCTGGAAGTGGGGATCCAAAGGAAAATTTTGTGAGACAGGAAGCCCTGGAGCGCCAAGTGGGGGGAGACTTGGGACAATCCCTCACCTCTCAGAGCTCCTCCCAGGCTTTCCCCCTCCTCAGGATCCTGGGCGGCGGGGCTCCAAGCCTCACTCTCCTGTTCCATCCAAGAGATGAGGGCTGGTTTGGGGCCTGGGAATCCTGGGAGAGAACAGGGATCACAGTGCTGGCCTGAGAGGCTGTCCTGGGCAGATGGCATCCCCCTGCCAGGGTAAGGGCACCTCCTCAGAACTTAGGCTCAACCTGGACAGGGTCTGCAATGCTCCTGCCTGAAGGAAGCGGATGCCAGGTGGAAGCACTCCCTAACCTGAAGCCCTGGGAATGGAGGGGGCTGGTGCTGTTGGTGGAATAGTGTGGGATTAGGGCTCACAATCATCTCGGTCCTCATGTCATCTCCCCTGTGAACCCCAGTGAAGGAGGAGGGGGGGGCTCTGACCCGGGGCCTCACCGAGCGCGCCCAGGTGGCCGTAGGTCTCCCGCATCACGTCCCGGTACAGGGCCCTCTGCGCGGGCCGCAGACAGCCCCACTCCTCCGGGGAGAAGTACACGGCCACGTCCGCGAAGCTCACGGCCCCGGGCTTCTTGTAACCAGGCCCGGTCTCCCCCGGTCTCAGCGCCAGAAGCGGGGCTGGGGGCGGCGCCATGGGGCCTCCCGGCCCCGAGTAGCGGCCGCCTTGTCCCCGAGGCCACCGCCTCCCCGCGCGCGGCCTCAGCTTTCGTCGTCCACAGCAAGGGCTCCGGAGGTCGGGGCCCCGCCCAGCCTTGGCGTCCGAACGCAGTCGAGGGCACCGAGGTAGCAGGGCCTGGCTGCGAGGGATTCGGGGGTTGTGATGGGGACAAACAAAACCCCTCGGTGTTTATTCACTTCATGGCAGCTTGGACTTAGACAGCCGGGTTAAGGGACCCGGAAGGTGTCTTCAGAAAATATGGCGACATCCTGGCTTTAGTTGTCACTGGATGCTCTTAAGGGCGCCATTCCTTGATCATATCAAACATGGCGCCTGTCTGGCTTCTCTGGCCTCAGCGGCCACTTGCCCTCAACTACAATGGCCGCTACAGGGGGGCGGGGGGGGGGTTTAGGCGAGGCAGAGACGGAACTAGGAAAAAAGGACTGGGGGGGCGGAGCCTTCCTGCCCTCAAGAAAGATGGACGGGCCGTGGCTTCCAGCACCGCTCTTCGCCCGCGCTGCCCGGCGGCCGGTGATTGGCCCACAGAGCAGGAAGAGGCTGCGCCGCCAGGTCTCGGGTTGGCGGGGCGTTGGAAAGCGCACCTTGGTCACCTAGTTTTGGACCTATGGAGTCCTTCCGCGTCTGTGGAACTCGGGATTGTGCCCTCGACGGTCTCCCTCCATGCCTCCCGACGGCAGGATCTGGAATCGGGTCCCTAGCCCCTGTGAGAGACGCACATACCCTGGCCAAACCCTGGGGACAGCCGAGGTAAAACCAGGTACACGGTTTACCGTTGAGACCACGGCTGCAGGGCGCGCCCGACTCATTGCACCCGCGGGACGGCTCGCAGTTTCTGGACTGGAGCTTAGGGGGAGGAACTTTGCTTGGTGAGGTTGGAATCGGAGTGGGGAAATTATACATTACATTTTAATTTTCTGCAAATTACTATGCATGGCTTTTTAAAAAGTAATTCAAAATTATAATGAAAAAGGCAGCCCCCTGTATCCTTTCACCTTGTTCCCTAAAGACCACTTTGTTGAACTCTTTTTATGAATCTGAATTATATCATACATACAGTAAAATGCACAGTTTTTAAGTGTAAACTTCGCTCAGTTTTGACAAATGCATACAACCGTGTTAACCGTCACCCAGAACAAAATATAGAGCATTGATGACCCCTGCATGTTTCGTTGTGCACTTTTCAATCACTACACAACTTTTCACTGTGGTAAAATACATGTAACAAAAATTAACCACTTTAGACCTTACAATTCAATAGCATTTAGGACATTAACAATATGCAACTATCATCACTATTTTTATCACCTCTAAAGGAAACTCCCTACCCTTGAAATAGCCACTCCCGGGGCACTTGGGTGGCTCAGTTGGTTAAGCGACTGCCTTCCGCTCAAGTCATGATCCTGGAGTCCTGGGATCGAGTCCCACATGGGGCTCTCTGCTCAGTAGGGAGTTTGCTTCTCCCTCTGACCCTCTTCCCTCTCGTGCTCTCTATCTCTCATTCTCTCTCTCTCAAATAAATAAATAAAATCTTAAAAAAAAAAAAAGAAATACCACTCGCCATTCTCCCTGCCTCCATTGCTTGACAATCACGAATGTTTCTGTCTCTGTGGATTTACTTTTTCTGGATACTTCACATAAATGGAATCATGCAGTATGTGGCCTTTCGTGTGTGGCTCGTGACAGCAAAATGTTTTCAAGGTTCATCAATGTAGCATTTATCAGTATCTTACTCCTTTTTTATGGTTGAATAATATTCCATTGTATGGATACAGGTTTCCCCTGCTGTCCCAAAGTAGAACATTTCTATGAAACTTTTCATAAGCTGAAATGGTGTAAAGCAAAGAAGTAATTACCACTAATTCATATGGAAAATTTTTTGAGCATTCCCAGACTCCAAAAATAACCTCTCTTAAGGCTTTACTGATACCTTAGGACACATCTTGCTAAAAGATGCACAGAATAAATGTAGGCCAAGCACAGATGCTCACGTATTTCAAAGCTCTAATAGCTTGATGCTGAGAGGCTGAGTGTAGCTCCCTGGGAAGGAGCTTGGTGGGGCCAGTCTCCCTGCTTGGGGTGTGAGCTGCCTCTAAAAGTAAAAATCCTCTTCAGATTTCTTTTGGTTAGTGAAAACAGGTACTAATGTAGGTTTTTCTTAAAATGAAGTGGCCTAATGGGAGCTTCTGAAAAGTGAGGGGACAACTGGGGCACCTGGGTGATGCAGTCCTTTGGGCATTTGACTCTTGGTTTGGCTCAGGTTTGATCTTGGGGTTGTGGGATCAAGCCCTGTGTCCAGCTCCGTGCTCAATCTGCTTGTGTTTTTCTCTCCCTCTCCCTCTGCCCCTCCCCACTGTGCTCTCTCCCTCTCTCTCAAAATAAATAAAATAGATCTTAAAAAAAAAAAAGAAAAATGAGGGGACACCTGTATACCATATTTTGTTTATCCATTCATCAGTTGATGGAAATTTGAGTTGTTTTTACTTTTCATGTTGCTGTGAACATTTGTGTAAGGCATTTTGTTTAATCGTTTTGAGATAAAATTCACTCATTAGATAATTCATGCATTTATTTATTTATTTTTTAAGATTTTATTTATTTATTTGACAGAGAGACACAGCGAGAGAGCGAACACAAGAGGGGGAAGTGGAGAGGGAGAAGCAGGCTTCCCGCAGAGCAGGGAGCCCAATGCAGGGCTCGATCCCACGACCCTGGGATCAGGACCTGAGCCGAAGGCAGATGCTTGACAACTGAGCCACCCAAGCGCCCCTAATTCATGCATTTAAATTGTACAGTTCAATGGGTTTGGGTATATTACATTATTTTTTTTAATTGTGGTAAAATATACAAGACATAGTATTTGCCACTTTAATCATTTTTAAGTTTACAGTTCAGTGGCATTAATTACATACATGCTGTGCATCTATCACCACTCTTTCCGAAACATTTTCACCACTGCAAAAGGAAACTGGGAATCCACAAGGTGGTCGCTCCCCATTCTTTTCCCCAGCTCCTGGTAACTTCCAGCTTGCTTTATGTGCCTATGAATTTCCCTGTTCTAGGTACCTTATGTCAGTGGAACTGTATAACACCTGTCTTTTCTGTCTAACTTATTTCACTGCCATCCTAACCATTTTTTAAGTGTATGGTTCAGTGGTATTAAGTACATTCACATTGTTGCACAACCATCATCATCATCCTCTCTAAAACTTTTTCATCTTCACAAACTGAATCAATACACTTTTAACTCTTAGCCTTTCTTCTGGAGCTTGCATTTACTTATGTATGTATGTATGTATTTATAGATTTTATTTATTTAACAGAGAGAGAGAGACTGCGAGAGAGGGAACACAAGCAGGGGGAGTGGGAGAGGGAGAAGCAGGCTTCCCGCTGAGCAGGGAGCCCGATGTGGGGCTCAATCCCAGGACCCTTTTCTCCCTCTCCCTCTGCCTGCTGCTTCCCTTGCTTGTACACTCTCTCTGTCAAAAATAAATCTTAAAAAAAAAAATATGCTTTAGATTCTCTCCCTCTGCCCACCCCCAACCCCTGCTTGCTCCCACCCTGTGTACACATGCTCTCTCTCTCTCACTCAAAAAAACTCCTTAAAAAAATGCTTTTACTCTTGTTTCTTGATATATTAATTTTTTGTATTTATTTGTTTTAAAGATTTTATTTGTCAGAAAGAGAGAGAGCGTGTGCACAAGCAGGGGGAGCAGCAGGTAGAGGGAGAAGCAGACTCCCCACTGAGCGAGGAGGCCGATGCGGGACTTGATCCCAGGGCTCTGGATCATGACCTGAGCCAAAGGCAGATGCTTAACTGACTGAGCCACCCAAGCGTCCCTTGATATATTCATTTTAGAAATTATTTGTGGGCATCTTGCTATGATACTTGCTCAGTTTCTAGCCCCATCTCCTTCACCTCTTTTCCCGACATAATGCAATAAATTATTATGAAATTTCCTGGGGCACCTGGGTGTCTCAGTAGGTTGAGCATCCGACTCTTGAGTTCAGCTCAGCTCATGATCTCAGGGTCTTGAGATCCAGCCTCATATCAGGCTCCGTGCTCAGCGCAAAGTCTGCTTGTTCTCTTCCCTCCCCATCTGCCCCTTCCCCTGCTTGCACGCTTGAGATCTATCTAAAATAAATAAATAAATAGCTAGATAAATAAATAACATCTTAAAAAAAAAAAGTCCTGTACATGCTATGATTATGTTTCCTTTCTTGTCAACTGTTTGCTCTTTTTTACTGAAACATACTTGACATAGAACATGTGTAAATGTAAGGTGTACAACATGTTGTTTTGATAAATTTATATATTGTAATATGATTGCCATTGTGATTGTTGGCCTTTTTTAAAATTTCCAGTTGTATTCCCTTTCAGTTGCATTATCTGTGCTTTCTGCTTTTTTTAAATTTTTATTTTTTTTAGATTTTATTTATTTATTTGAGAGAGCGTGAAATCAAGGGAGATCACAGAGGGAGAGGGAGAAGCAGACTCTCCTCTGAGCAGAGCCTGATGCGGGGCTCCATCCCAGGACCCTGGGATCATGACCCGAGCCAAAGGCAGACACTTAACCAACTGAGCCATCCAGATGCCTCCGTTTTTTGTTTTTGTTTTTTATTAAAGATTTTATTTATTCATTTGAGAGAGAGACAAGCATGAGCGGGTCAGGGGCAGAGAGAGAAGCAGACTCCCTGCTGAGCTTGGAGCCTGATGGTTGGGCTCAATCCTGGGACTCCGAGACTGTGACCTGAGCTAAAGGCAGACGCTTAACTGACTGAGGCACCCAGGCGCCCCTCTGCTTCTTTAAGTTGTTTTAAATTACCAGGGATAGCATCAAATCTCAGATTACCATTTTTTCCCTGAGAAACCTCTTTCCTTGACCCCTCGGTCTTCTCTCTCCAGACTTGCCTGGGCCTCAGCTGTCATCCAGGGTCTGACTTCCCTACTGTCCTGAATTGTATCCTCTGCTTCCTAGTTTCAATATCTTCCTATTTTTTAGTGGAGATGGATCATCTTAATGGTTTGTGGCATTGGGCTATAGATACTAGATAGCTTTTTTTTTTTAAGATTTTATTTATTTGTCAGAGAGAGATGGAGAGAGCATAAGCAGGGAGAGCGGCAGACAGAGGGAGAAGCAGGCTCCCCGCTAAGCAAGGAGCCGGATGCGGGATTCGATCCCAGGACCCTAGGACCGTGACCTGAGCTGAAGGCAGCCGCTTAACCAACTGAGCCACCCAGGCGTCCCTAGATACTAGATAGCTTTATCCCATTGGGAATATTCCTGCAATCAGGCAGGATGCCAGGTGCTCTTTGCTAAGCATGGGGCTAGTCGTTGGATTAAC